CTCAGTGCTCCAGCAGCCATCTCCACACTGGGCACCTACTTGGGGAAGTGGGTGAGGATCAGTGTCCTCTTCTCTGGCACCAGCTTGTCCTTCTCCACCCGGAACTTCTCCAGCAGCTGCCGGCGGGTCACCGTGAAGATGGACTTGAGGAGGCTGCGCCCAAAGACGTGCGTGGTCTCATAGCGGGGCAGGCTGTCACAGCTCTGTGGCACGTGGCAGTAGCACAGCCACCTGTGGGACAGAACGGGCTCTGGAGACAGGGCTGGAAGCAGAGACCCCAGAGCAACCATGTCCCTCCTGGGAGAGTGCTGCTGGGAGCAGGCTGGATGAAGGCACAGCTGACATTCAGAAGCTTTGGCCCCACTGGGTGCCTGCTCTCCTAGTGACTGACAGTGTGGGAGACCCCAGGGTGGCTGGCTCAGTGGCCCCCTGCCCTCCTCACCTGGTGTAGTTGACCTTGTAGGTGGCCACATCGTCGTTCTGGGAGCGCTGGCGGAACTGGGACGGCGTCTCCAGCTTCCAGTAGTTGAGGCACAGCAGGAACATCTTGGAGAGCTCGTACATGGTCTGGCGCTCCTTGGGCGGCAAGTGGCTGAACTTGTACTGCACAAAATTCAGGACTCCCTGGGGAGAGGATGGGAGGGTGCCAGGGGCTGCTCTGGGCTCTTCCATGCTGCCTCCCAGAGAGTGAGGGGAGCATGCAAGAGCAGCAGAACACAGGACAAGCCATCAGGGCAGTGTTGAGAGCAGCCTGACAGCAGCCTCACCTGCTCAATGTTTGGTTTCTCAAAGGGAGGGCTCCCCAGGGACCCCTCGACCACAGGCTGGCTCATCTGCAGGATGCACTTCCGCAGCAGCTACAAAGACACCAACAGACACAGTCAAGAGAGTCCCAGGAACTGGATGCTCCAGGAATGGTGGACGTGGCTGAATGCTGCCATGGGGCTGCTCCAATTTCTACAACCAGGAAGGCACTGGTGCTGCCTTTGGAGCACAGCCATTCATCCCCTAGAACTGCCCCCTAGGGAATTCAGGGCCAGAAAGTCACTCCAGAACAGGGTCAGCATTCCAGGCCTCTGGGCTGTGGGATGACTCACAGCCCCAGCTCCAGCCCCAGCTCCAACAGAGCACAAACAGTGGGACAGCAACCCCACAATGAGCAGAAACTCTGCACAAGTCCCCCATGAGTGGGGCAGTGAGACATACCTTGAACAGGTAGAAATAGACCTGCTTGGTGTCCGTGTCCTCCTCCTTGTGCACGGACATGAAGAGGTTCTCCACATCCACCACCATGCCCAGCAGACGGTTGATCTCCTCCTCTGAGACGTTCTCCAGGTGGGACACGTGGTCAGCTGTGCCAGAGAGAAATCCACGGTGAGACCAGGGGAGCAGCAGCACGGTGACACTGAGGGGTCAGAACCACAGTGACACCGAGGGAGCAGCACTGCAGTGACACTGAGGGAGGGGTCAGAACCACAGTGACACTGAGGGGTCAGAGCCACAGTGCCATCGAGGGAGCAGCACTGCAGTGACACTGAGGGGTCAGCACCACAGTGACACTGAAGGGAGGAGCAGCACGGTGACACTGAGGGGTCAGAACCACAGTGACACCGAGGGAGCAGCACTGCAGTGACACTGAGGGAGGGGTCAGAACCACAGTGACACTGAGGGGTCAGAGCCACAGTGACACCGAGGGAGGGATCAGCACCACAGTGGCACCGAGGGAGCGGCAGCCCTCGCCCTGCCCAGGGGTGCCACAGGAGTTACCCAGAGCATGGCCACAGCTCCGGCACGGCTCGCTCAGGTTGGTCACTGGCTGCTGCAGGTCCATCCGAGGGGCTGTGGGGGGGTTGGGGTTCTTCCAGCCATTGCACTTGCAGGCATCGTTGGCCTGGGAAGAGGGACAGCGGTGGTCATTGCAGTGGCTGCCACCTTCTGTGGCCAAAGGATTTTCCTGGCTCCCACCCACCCCTTTTCACCCAGCCCAGCTTTTCTCAGCATCACCCACCCCCCAACACTGCCCCGTGCAGCCCCAGGACCCTGCAGCCCCTGCCCAGTGACCTCCCTGCACCTCCCTTGGGCAACTCAGCACCCTCTTCCTGCCCCCCTGCCTGCACACAGCCCAGCACCCCCATCCTGCACCCCATGCACATCCCAATCCCGCATCCTTTGTCCGTGGATTCCTTGCTCTCACCCTCCTGCATCCCTAAATTCCCCTCCTACACCCATAAACGTCCTTGCAGCCCCCTCCTGCATCCTCTACCCAGGTCAGCATCCCCATCCTGCATCCTCTTCCCAGGTCAGCATCCTCATCCTGCATCCCCCCTCATGTCAGCATCCCCATCCTGCATCCCCCCTCATGTCAGCATCCCCATCCTGCATCCCCCCTCATGTGAGTATCCTCACCCTGCATCCTCTACCCAGGTCAGCATCCTCACCCTTCATCCCCCCTCGTGTCAGCATCCTCATCCTGCATCCCCCTCTCATGTGAGTATCCCCATCCTTCATCCCCACCCAGGTCACCATCCTCACCCTGCATCCCCACCCATGCACAGCACTGAACCCCCACTCCTGCATCCCCTGCACCCCCAGCCATGCCCGTCCTTGCCTCCCCCACCCGTGCCCTCCCGGTGCCGCCGTTCCCACCTTGCAAGCCGAGAACACCCCCAGCTTCTCCAGCTTCTTCCCGCGGGGGAACCCCCGCACCTGCGCCTTGCGCTGGCTCGCCCGCTGCTGCTGGCTCAGCCCGGGCCGTGCCGGGTCGCTGGACCCCGCTCCCCCGGCCGTGCCCCCGCTCGCCGCCGCCGTCCCCG